TCTAAAGTCCATAAAATGCCCAGCACACGCACACAGAGACCATAATTGCTCTGGCATACACATTCAATGTTCCCTTTACCCCTACCATTATCATGACCATTGAAGGTAAGACCCTAAAAAGCTAAGGACACTACAATTAGGACTTCATTCAGGAGTGGAAACTGCAGGGACCACAACATTGATGTTCTTCACACCCTTCACCTATACATTCTGCTATACCCCTCAGCTCTAATCTGCAGCAGCCTCCACGCTAAGCTTTTCTCTCTTTCCTGGTCCTGCTCGCAGCCAGTCACTGGAAGGTCAGGGCTCATGCTGTGCACATACGCAGGACAGGAACAAGACATACTTCTTGCCTCCTTTTTATCTGCATTCTCAAGTGGTTATCTAAATGCAGAGACACAAAGATCTACTGGTGCCATCTATCACAGCAGGAGACCATGACAGCTCTACTGCAAACCCTGTACGTCAAGGAGAGCCATCAGCCAGATGAAAGATAACTGCCTGGCAAGGAAGGATGCCGAAAACATTGCTCTCCACAAACTACAGCAGGCTAAGAGGGCCATCTCCTCCCTCACCCATCTCCATTTACCCTCCTGTGAGCCATGCTGCCACACAGCTTTTGTAGATGAGGCCTCTTTCATACTGCTGAAGTCCAGGCTGCAGGGATAAGCACGGAAAAAACTCCCAGACAGACCCATGGCTTAGCCCTCCATGTGCACCAAAGCACCTGCACAGAGCAGATACCAGGAGTACAAAGTTTTGTGCAAGATCAGCCGTCCCTCAGTTTCTCTGTCAAAAAGAGAAAACAGAACATGGGAAATTGGGAAATCCATTGCAGTCCTAAAATGCAACTCATTCTACTTACAGCTTCACCCTCTGGAGGCAAGCAAGGAGAGCTTGACTAAGAGGTGTTACAGCAAGAGTCATTCAGATCAGTACTAAGGCTTGTAAGCAGGGTTTTTAGCAGCCCTCTTCAGCCCAGTGCAACGACAAGTATCTCATTTAAAGTGTTTCTTCAGACAGCACAAGCCCATTAACTTCCACAGACTCCAACATAACTATGATCATATATATCACAAAGTAATTACCACTTCAGACAGTGGATGGGCATACAGATACAGAACAAGCATTTCCCTCCTTCCTAATAATTTCACCTTGCCTTTTAGATTTTCTAAATACTATATAGGTTTGGTGTCAGTCATCACGATACAGCCTACTTTGAATTAGCTCTACAAGTTTTCTGAACGAGGCATTTTTCTTAAGCCCCCATCCACCATAAGGGTTTGTTAATCTCTAGACATCTCAGAGAAGAGGGAGAAGCACTGTGATAAGGAGGGTGGAATGTTGTGCAATTCCGCCTGCAGGGATATTAGAATAAGGCTTGCACCTATCAGTGGAAGAATGGCTTAATTTGTAAGCCGGAACAATAGATGACAGCTCATCTTCTTCTTGCTGCTGTGCTCATCCCTAATGAGTGTCTGATGAAAATGCTGATGAAAGTTTTTTTCCTTAACAAATGAAGGAACGCTCTACAGCCATCATCAGGAAGCCTGCAAAACCACAGCTCCTCAATATTGAAGTTTTTAGCGGTAACTCTTGTAACATAAATGCACCCAAAGCACTTCCTCACATCTCCAAAAGGATTTACAACAGACTGCAGCGGTTAAGTCTCCAGTTACCAAGATGACATTTTTATTAAACACACTAAAAGAATGCTAATATACTGCATAATGCTTCACCATTAAAACTGAATTTTACCTGCTGAAAAACCAAGAGCCTATCTAGCAAAATACTGGCTTCCCACCCTTACTGCCTTGCATCTGCCTGTACTAGCTACAATAGCGACACTGTCATTTGTTTCAGTTCTCCTACTGACTTTACATTAATCGTATTCTCTTGTGGTTAAGCCAGTATAAAGAGATTACACTTTTTCCTAACACAAGTCCTATGAGCTACCAGAACAATCAAAAGGAAGCAAATAGCTGAGAAGATTGCTTACTGCTTGAGGGAAATGGCTAAAACACTGTTAAAGTGACAGAATCCTAGATAAGTCTGTAGATAGCAATTGCAGGAGAAAAAATAAATCCTTTTTTAATGAATTGCTTATAAATCATCTCCATCAAGGGTATCTCTTAAATGAATGCATGAAGATTTTGGGAATGCATACATCACCCATCCTATAACAGCATCATTCCCCTTCCTCTTTTCTGAAAATGTATGTCTAAAAACCAATCCTGCTTACAGGGCAGCTGGAGAGTATAGAGAGCAAGAATATCTATAAACTGTGTCAATCTGGCAGCTCTAGGAGGGATCTCATCAATGTATACAAATACCTGGAGGGAGGGTGCAAAGAGAATGGAGCCAGCCTCTTTTCAGCAGTGTCCAGTGACAGGACCAGAGGCAATGAGCACACACAGGAACAAAGGAGGTTCCCTCTGAACATAAGAAAAAAAGCTTTTCACTCTTAGGGTGACTGAGCACAGGCACAAGTTGCCCAGAGAGGTTGTGGAGTCTCCCACCTTGGAGATATTCAAAAGTCATCTGGGGACAGTCCTGGGCAACTGGCTCTAGGTGGCCCTTCTTGAGCAGGGGGGTTGTTGAACCAGTGACCTGGTGCAACCAGAGGTCCCTTCCAGCCCCGACCGCTCTGCAATTAGTGCTCTAGACTGCATCCAATTAGTGCCTTCCCACCATGCGCTAAAGAACTTGGCACACTGCCAGGTACCATCCCCATAGCAGGGAGGTGAAGGTGAGTCCTCAATTACCTATCTGCAAGCTGCTTAAGGGGTTGCCTCACTCTCTAAGATTGCTTTAAACTACTTACATTTCCTGAATTGCTCCAGCTGATAGTTTTATCACACAAGGTCAAGCGACAAGAGTTTCAGACCACTTACTTGCAGAACCCGCAGATCTATGTACAGCTCTGAAAAGCCTGCGCAGGTGTTTCCTTAGGGACTGCCTCGTGACAGGGAGTCAACTTCCTACTTATTCCTTAGTTATTGCAAGGATCCCAACTCCAGTTCTCATCCTTGCACTAAATCCTGGCAGTAGCCACAGGATGCTGCAGTGATAACAACTACTTTCTTCGACAAACCCCTAAAAGCATACACACATCAGGACAGAAACCATAACTTACATATGCTTTGGCAAGAGACAAGCACCCTTCTGTTTTTTACTCAGCGTTTTGTCCTGCAATTTATTCATTTATTTGTGCCCTACATGTGTTTTAAAATGTTAAATCTAGTCCCAACCAAGTTTGGTAAAGTAACATTTTAAATCAGAGGTGTCTAGCTGTGGCCATTCTTTTTAAAGTTGCATCTTTAAAAAAAAAGAAATTAAGTGTTTTATATGAAAAGTTTGCCCCTTCTGCAATCACAGCACACAACGTGCAACTCACTGGATTTTTTTCAGAATCTTTTAATAAAACCTGCAAACTCTAAAAACATGGCCTAAAGTGTCCCATAGGGAAAAAGCAAGATTTTGCTCAGATAACAAAACAGAATTAATTTTCAAAGCTCGACTCGTATCCCCTGCCTGAGCGCCTCTTAGAGACCACTACTAGAATTTAATTTCCAACTGTTCTTTGCAGTTCAAAATTATGTCAGAGGCAAATAAAACCCTTCCAGAGAAATTCAGGAGCCTGAGAAGCCAATTCTTCTTCACAGCAAGAACACAGTCCATTCTCAGTTACAATGACGGCCATGACTAGCATTAGAGAGAGAACTTGGGTAGCTATGGCTTAACACAGACTTTCATTTCATTGTACACTGCAAGAAGAAGGTAAGCTGCCTTGAGAAAAACTGTGTCAGTAGTGAAGACAGAGCAATACTGAAGAGCTGTGAACAGCTAAGCAGTAGGATCACGGGACAGTCACAAGGAAAGTTGAGCTGTGACTTGGTGCCTGAAAACAGCAAGAAGATGGGAGGAAAAAAAATGAAAACAACAAACCACAGAACAGGGGCAAGAAAGATTTCACCAGCAGTTTTCCCCCATAACACAAAAAGCAGGCTAGTGTTTTCTTCACATCTTTGCATGCATATTTAAAGTTGACTTTTAATCCAGATCACACAGAGGCACATACATACGGCACAGCCTACTTTGTTACAGAGTCTCCAAAAAGGATGGATGGACTTAGTGTTTGCATTTTGGGTTTGGGGCTGACAAGATTGTTTTCACTCCATCCTGTGCTCTCAATTTTCTTTAGCCTTTTAACAGTGGCCTGGAGCAATCTTGAGCCAATTATCTCCTTACAGCCCTCCAAAAAGGTCTCTGCCTTGTAAGCATCAGAGATTTCCTTGGGGGCGGGGTGGGGGAAGAGAGAGCTTCCAATGCCAACTCCTAAACACTCTGGGGGAGACAGAAGTTATCAAATGCCCCTCTCAAGCAGAGCTGTCAAATCCTTTCTGTGTTTATACCTCTAAACCCATTCATACCCATGTCCAAATCAACCTGCTAGACTGCCTCCCCACATGCAGTTTCACACTTCAGGTTTCCAGGAGGTGCTCAGACGTTATGAAGAAAAGCAGCAAACACACTTACATAAAAAGAAAATGTACTGTCTGCACCGCTTGCATCCCATTTAAGACTGTCATTTCTCTTTGTTGGAGCTGTCACAAAACCCCATGCAGTAAATGACAAGCCAACTCCAAAGCACTGCACCTAGTAAAAATTTAATATAATAAATTGAAAACGGCAACATTATTTTAACCATTCACAATTAAAGTGGAAAAATTATAAGGCAGCCATTCATGGAATGATTTTGTGTACAAATGGTTTGGAAAGAGACATTAAAATTACAGTTCCATACACAGAGTCAGGTAAACAGCAATGACCACGCAATGTTTTTCCCTGGAAAGCCCAGGCTGCTAAGAGATGTAATAAAAGGACAATAGGAAAAAAAAAAAAAAAGATTTTATTTTTAAAAGAAGTTTGAGGTGAACAGGAATCTGAAATTCATCATAAACTTTCCCATCAT